TTACTAAAATATTATTTATATTGTTCACAGTATCTCGTATCACTATAAGTATCTTATATTTTGTCTTGACAGATAGTAAAAGAAACTAGTAAAATCTAATAACTCGCAATAACTCGTACCAAAAAATGGGACGCAACGCATTTTTTCGTTCGAGCTTCTTATTCGAGTTTTGCATCCAAGTTCAGTGTGTACATGATCCGAGTTCTAGTAACTTTCCCTCGGTCCGAGATCTCGGACCGAGTTCTAGCATCGTGGACACAAGGCTTAAGAACGACGCTATTCTTCAGCTTACCTCGCGTCGCGTCGTGACGCGAGTCATGACGCGACGCGTGACGCGCTCAGTGGGAATTCGGCCTTACACTTCACTGCGGTTGTTTTCCATTAAGAGACACAAGCGACACAAAAATATTATTCTCTCTGTTGCTCATTGAATATCGAAAAAGACAGAGTGATACTTGTGTCGATTTTTGTCAACTTGTGTCCTTTGCTGGAAAACAACCTGCGTTCGCCGCGTCGCGCATGCGCGAAAAAACCGGGCCAAATCTGGCAACATTGGAACGCATACGATTTTGTCCATTCCATCTTCATCTTCTTGTAAGTAAGGTTCAGGCCAATTCAGAAAAGTTACCGGAGATCCCCCTTTTTTGTGATGGCCACGACATTAGGAAGAAAAAATTAAGAATAATTATTGTGTTCTACCGGCATCTTTAGGAAATCAAGAAAACGCGGAAATCAAGAATTATCAAGGAAACGTATGCTGGTCATTATTGTGCATAAATAGTGATATTGCATTATCGTAAGTATTATCAACGTGGTATTTTATCAAGTATATCAACGTGGTATTTTTTTTATAGAAACTCCTTGCATGCAAGATATACACAGTTTGAAAAATTTAAATAGTTTTTTGAATTTTCTAGAAAAAAATGATTTTTTATGCATATTTGTAGTAATTTACAGACAGTTGCAATTTTTATAAATATGAGCAAAATAAAAAATCTTAGGTAGCACATGTTCGTTTCATATACGTTTCCTAAATGTATCCAATGTTTCTTAACCGTTAAGCATCAATAAGAAACGTTTTTGAAACCATTCAACAGAAACATTTTTGAAATAATTTAAAAAACGTTTTTTTCACGTTTTTAAGAAATAGAAAAAAATAAATGTTTTTAATTCAAAATTATGTATACGTATAATCACTACAGAGACTACATGTTAATTTCTATTTTTAAATATGCGAATACTAAAAAGAGCGTTGAGGTTAGAATTATCGATTCTCATGTATAGATCATAACAGTGATGCGATGTTTCTTACCGAGATCTATAGAGAGAGGGTTGCCTCAGGGGTGCGTTCATAAAGTTTACTCTTTAACTTAGAGTTAACTAGAGTTAACTCTATAGCGTTCAGAAACTCGAATATGACCGGAAGTACGTTCAGAGTAAAGTGTTCATAAATTTGACAGAGTTAACTCTAGAGTTAACTTTTTTAACTCATGTCAAGAAGGTGGGTCAAAATAACTCGACATGCGCAATAATGATCTATTTATTTTAAAAGGTTATAATCAAGTGATAATGGTGTGGTGGAACCTACATAACCTAAACGCTGTCTACGCTAAACATACTTTTGGGGGCATTTTTTCTATTTTTAATATTATTAAATATTATTTAAAAAATGGAAAACTATATAATATTAACAGACAAAACAGGAAAAAGAATTATGAACAAAAATGGTATTACATTAATACAAAATGTTGCAGGTAATTTATTTTCAATTATTTATTATTTTTTATTATTTTTTTTAATGAAAAGATTTGTAATCACTTGTTATTTTACCTTTCATAGTTTGTAGATAAATAAATTAAAGATTAATAATAATTTTGGATAGATGCAATTAGAAACAGAAAAAACCGTGACAAAAACATACAATATAGATAGAATCTTTCTGTATCATATGTATTCTTCTCTATTTCTAATTCTATCCATAGTTTTTGTAATTTTTATTAGGACGATGGTCGCACACAATGTAAAGCGTAAATGTAACGCGTGCAATGTAAAATTGTGCCAATAACGTATTTTATTTAATTTTATTTTCAATGTTGTTGAAACTCTTTACTTGTATAGTTTGCTACAACATTTTCTATGTATCCAACAATACGATTAGGCTTTTCTTTTAAATGTGTTTAATTAATAACATTGCATAGTCTTCATCGTCAGATTCTTCCTAAAAATACGTATAGAATATAAATATAAACAATATTTTTAAATAAGTTAAGATATTTATGGAACATTTTGTAAAGATTCTTGTTAATAATAATAACTAATTGTATACTTAATAACTTGTAATTTAATAACTTGTTAATAATAATAAATAGTTAAAATGTTTTTGTTAATAATAATGATTTGTTTAAATTTACTACTTATAAAAGAAAAATAGTGTTATGATATAAAGCATTATATATTATAATACTTATCTGAATATTCAGCATTAAGTTTTTCGCAAAAGAAAACACAGAAAAATAAATTACTTTTTTCACATTTTCTGCCATGTTGTCAACTCAACTGTTACGCCAGTCGTTCACAAAGTCACATAAAATTGTATACTCCTAGAGTTAACTCCTACATAACCCAACTCTACTCTGACTCTACTCGAAGTAAACTTTATGAACGCACCCCAGTAAAACCGGTTGAGGGCGAGGGACGATGAAGTAAGGGGGGAGCTAGAAACAGCTTGACGGCGAGGGGCGATGAAGGAAGAGGAGAGCATGATGATCTCATCTTGACGGCGAGGGGCGATGAAGGAAGAGGAGAGCATGATGATCTCATTGACAAACAGTAGTTGTCTGAGATCAAGATTTATAGAGAGAAGGTTACCTCATGCGCAAAGAGGGACGAGATAGAGAGAAGGTTACCTCATGCGCAAAGAGAGACGAGCGGCAAGAGGGGCAAATGCTGAGCGGGGCGAGCGGCAAGAGGGGCAATGATGATCTCATCGACAAACAGTAGCTGTCTCTCTCGCACGCTTTAGTGTTTTCTCTCTCGCTCCTTTAATATAGAAATGCTTTGAGTTTTTATCGAAAAAATACTTTTATTTTGTAAAATATTGATAGTACTGGAAATTGCAAAATAATAATTGAAAAGTAAATTAGAAAGGCGCTATAAATTACATATATTGCAAATTATAGCGCTAGATATTTAACGTTTATAATGTTAAATATCGCTGCAACAGATGCATTTGTTATACAAATTGCTTTGTACTCGTATTTAGACTGTAATATCAATAAAAATAAAATATAATTTGGGGATACACACAAAAAACATCATTTGTAAAGTAGTAAAATAAAAGAAAAAATAGTACATATTTAAAAATTATTTTTAAAATAATATTTACTGTTTATATGCATTATTTACAAAAGAAATACTATAAAAAAATTTATTTTTTATATTTAATTGTGAAAACCTCAAAAATTGTCAAGAAATTGTAACTGAAATTCATAAATGTAAGTACAATTCTAGGGTAATATAAAAAGCATCATACACAAATTTATTATGATACAAACTTAAATAATGAAATTGTAATATATGTTTCAATATTGCAAATGTGAATATATTTATATGATAAAATTTACAAAGTGTTAACAATTTTCAAATATTTGCTAATAAAATATTATTGAAATGTTTCTGTTGAAATCTTAAAATAATTCTTTAAAACAAATATGATGGGGTATATATTAGGGATCATTAAATATGCGGCAACATTGTGATTATAAAATTTTATAAGTATCTATAATAAAAATTAAGTATAATAAATATAATAAGTATACAAGTATAATAATAAAATTTTTATAAGTATCTATAATAATAAAAATACATATATGTTGTATTAATCTGTTAATTGCGTTAAATTAATTAATAATTTTTTTATATTTATTGGCGACTCTTCTTTGATTATCTTCAGCTTTCCTCTTATTACCTACGTGCTTGCGATTTTTTTTGGCAGTATTATAAAATTTAATGCGTACATAAGTTTTTTGGAGAATAAATGCAAGCGAGTGACAGAGAGTAGAAACAGTTAGAAAAGGAAAAACTTTGAAAGAGAGAGACAGCTACTGTTTGTCGATGAGATCTCATGCTCTCCCCTTCCTTCATCGCCCCTCGCCACCAAGCTGTTTTTAGCTCCCCCCTTACTTCATCGTCCCTCGCCCACAACCGGTTTTTCTGAGGTAACCTTCTCTCTATAGATCTTGGTCTGAGATAGCTTCTGTTCGCCGATGAGATCATCATTGCCCCTCTTGCCGCTCGCCCCTCTCTGCATTTGCCCCTCTTGCCGCTCGTCCCTCTTTGCGCATGAGGTAACCTTCTTTCTATAGATCTTGGTTTCTTACCGGGCTCCTGACTTGTGAGCCCCACGTACACCTGGTCACAGAAATGCCTTAACACATGAACTTGCACAGGTGTCAAGTCATTGCTCGATTTCTGCCGCCAATCTGACATCAAACTGCGTTGCATAGGTTTTGTTCGGTTTTTACCGCCAATCTGCTGTCAAAATTCCGAATAAATCCTGCTCGGTTTCTGTTATTGATCTGCTGTCAAATGATATCAGCAGGTTTTGTAACATTTCCGCTGACATTCTGCTATCATCATCTGATGTAACAGATTTTGTATATAATCTGCAGTCTTTCTGCTGACAAAAATTTGTAGCAGACGTTTGACAATATCTGTTCGAACAGACTTTGCTGACTGGGATAGTAGGGGAAGGTGGGGTAAGACGGACCCCTCAAGCAAAAATGGCCATATTTTTTATATTAATGACAAAAAATAACTGAAATTTTGTATGAAGAAGCAGTAGAATGTTTATTATAAGATCATAATGTTAAATTTTCAAAACTTGCAAAAGTTTGAATTTTTATTAAGATTTTAAAAAACTTAATTTTGGTCCGTTTTACCTCATAGGTGGGGTAAAATAGACCATCCCATGGGGTAAAATGGACCAAGCCGAGATAATATGGACCAAGAAATATTTTAACTGATTAACTCAAAATCAAAACTATGTATTATTTATTAAATATTTTTGAATAAGAATAGAAATTAATTTAACATTAATCATTTTATCTTCTTGCAATTTCTCGTTTACCAATGTTTTCTTCTAACATGACTTTTAAGGCTTCGTATAAATTTTCCTCATTTCATTTACATCGATTCGATTTTCTTTTATAATTTCTAGGCATCTTTAGCAACTAGAAAAATGGTTAAAAAACAAAAAATTGTTAAAAAAGAAAATGAGATGTAAAATATTTCTCAAATCAGAGCAAATATATAAGCAGAAAACTGTAAGTAGAAAGTATAAGTAGAAAATATAAATAGAACAAATATATAAATTGGTCCGTTGTACTCCATTTAAATTGGTCCCTTTTACCCCACATAACAACATTAATATTATCTTATTTTTATTTACCTGTATCAAAATTATTTTTCAAATGTAACTGATAAAATATTACTTCCAAATAACCAGAAATATGGAATTTGTAGAAAAATCTAAAAATATTAAGTTTTGCAATCTTAGTCACTTAAAATGTAATATTAAGAAATTAGATCAAGAGATCTATTTGCAAGAATTTGACGTTTCTTTATAAATAACTCACGATAGTCTTATGATATAATGACGTAATTTTTAAACAGTTTAAAAGTATCAAAAAGGAAATTAATTTTATGTTTATCCAGCAGATAGAGGTACTTACTAATAAGATCTAGCAAATGGACCATTTTACCCCGCGGTCCGTCTTACCCCACCTTCCCCTATACGTTACATGTAACCTTAAATATTAATTAAATTTTATTCTTTCCCGCTGCTGCTTTTCCTTTTCTTTCTTTCTCATCCGCCATTTCCCTTCCCTATCCTCTTTTAACTCCCCAGCCTGCCGTCTTTTATCACCTTTTCTTTTCCTCTAGTGATGCAAACTGTGGGCTTGTTCGTTTTAGCTACACTGGGGCTGCTCTGGGTCTGCTCTACACAGGATAATACAGGACAGATAAATAGTTTGTCCTGTATTATCTTGTTTAGAGCAGACCCAGAGCTGCCCCAGTGCAGCTAAAACAAACAAGCCCCGTGTTTCGCGTTCAACTGAGTCTGCACGGAGCTCACACAACACAGTTTTCACTTGCATACGTGCTCTTTCCGTCACGGTGGTAGTGGTTGGTTCTTGGTGCCTGCTCGAGTTTGCATCATTGCATCACTGCTTTCCTCCATTTTCTCATTACAACCCTTCCAAAAGTAATCCAATATAATTTTTAGAACAAAATCTTCATGATTTTAATAAAAATTTTACAACTCTCTAAAAGTTAAACATATATGAATTTTATATGCAATTTGCTAACGAGCAATATTATATATCATAAATCTGTGTAACGCATATTTGCATTCATATCTCGCATATTTTATCAAGAGTTATCTACTTATAATTTTATTTTATTAATTGCTACATGTATCATTAAATATTATCACTTTTCAGGGCTTATACAATGTTTCCAGAAGCACAAAGCTTTTGCTTGCCACAAAGTATCATTCCGCCTTGTATGAATTTTGCACTAAAACATGAATCAGAATATGAATCAGGACCTTGGAATTTCACAGAGGAAGCTGCTAATTATTTAAAATACATTCAAAGTTTATCTGAAGTAAAAAAGATAGAGACTCGGGATTATTTGGCCATATTGAAAATATGTTTATATTTGGAACAATTTGAAATAAATAAAGAAATAAAACGGTATTCATTGAAAAATGGTAAACTCAAGAAATCTAAATCTAATTCGGAACATTGTTTTATCATTGATGTACCATCTTTGACTAGTGAACAGTCTGTTATTGTACTTAACGATAAAGTATCTCTTTATCATGTTGTTTCAAAAAGAAATATTTTAGCTAGAGTTGTAAAACTGTCGAAGAACGAAGTAACAATACAACTAGATGCTTCTGTGTAAGTTCAAAACAATTTTATATATTAATATTTATAAGAACTTTAAGAATTTTTATACTAATTATTACAAATAAAAACAAGTCCCAAGCAACATCGAGTCGACTGTTAGTCGACTATAAGCCGGCAGAAAAAGCTTACAGTCGACTGTAAGTTTTGTACTTATTG